GTCTGATTTGCGGCAACTGTGGCATCTAATTGTGTTCTTAGTCCTGGATTTAGCAGCTTCTCTAGCTTTATTCTTCTGATCAGCCATGGAAAGGGATATTATGTACTCTTAGCAATCAGTACATTTAATTTTGATTTTTGCTGTTTTTGTTGCATCAGGAGTCAAAAGGTAACCCAACAAATTTTAGATGAAGATTAAAATAGGTTTTCTATGTTTCATACACAACAGTGAAAAACATAGGATTGCATATATGCCTTTGTGCGCACGCCTCCCCCCCCTCCCCCCCCCCCGCAAATGGATTCTATGTACATACATACAAACATTAACCCATGTCGGCTTTTCTTTGATAGATTTCATAACAATGTAAAACCATATATTCTAAAAGTTTCTTCTTCATATTATCATCATAATACAAATCATTACTACTTTATTACTAGGCTAACTTAGAAAAGATTCAAACATTCATTCTATTACCCTTTTTTAAATTTCCTTGCTTTTTTTCTAGGATTCTGCAGAATTAAAAATAATACTTATTATTTTTAGCTTGCATGTTTTTATGCCAATTTCAGCAGTTGTGGCCAGGTTCCATAGACATTTGCCTAAAGCCTTGGGAAGTATTAAAATATTGTTATTTTTTTTACAGATGTTAATTAGCTTCTGGGATTATACATCAGCGATGAGTGAGTTGAGTTACATTTTCCATTGTTTTGATGCTGGGTGAAATTTCTTTCAATTGACCAGCATCTGTGTAATTGACCAGAAATTTGCATGGCCAAGTACTCTCTTGAATTGCTCCTTAACTATTCTCTGTGCTTTCAGGAAATCTTAGATTTCTCCTCAACATGGAAGGAATTAAATCTTGTATTTCCACTAGAATTAGGAAGCTGAGGGTAAAGAAGAACAGGAAATGGAAGCAGAGAATATTAAGAATGCAAAGTCCTGGCAGGCGTGGCTCAGTTGGTTGGAGCTTTGTTTTATATACCAAAGGGCTCTGGTTTTGGTTCCTGGTCAGGGCACATGCCTGAGTTGCAGGTTCGGTTCCCAGTTGGATGACCAATCAATGTTCACATTGGTGTTTCTCTCCACCCCCTTCCCTCTCTTTAAAATGGGTGTGCATGTCCTTGGTTGAAGATTAAAAAAAAAAAGAATTAGAAAAGGAGAAAAGAAAAGAACACAGAGAAAACTATGTCATCTGACTCTATCAAAATGCTGATTACACTGGGAATTATTTAACTAGGTCTCCAAATTGAGAATAAAGTGTTTTTTGTTTCTCACTTTTAGAAAAACAAGAGACAACCACCATAAAAAGTGTAGAATTTGGGTTTAAGAGAAAAAGGCAGGATCTACTACCCTTTGCGACAGCATGGAGGGACCTGGAGATGATTTTGCTACGTGAAATAAGCCAATCAGAGAAAGATAAATATCATATGATCTCACTCATATGTGGAATCTAATGAACACAATAAACTGATGAATAAAATGGAACTAGAGGCTTGGAAACATGGAACAGACTGACCAGTCACAAAGAGAAGGAGGGGGAGGGAAGAAATTAACCAAAGACCTTATATGTATATATGCATTGACCATGAACACAGACACTAGTTTGGTGCAGGCCTGAGAGGGGGCAGGTGTGGGGTGGAGGGGGTCAATAAGGGAAAAGGAGAACATCTGTAATACTTTCGACAACAAAGATTAAAAAAAAAGGAATTATAAGGGCATTGACTGATTCCTCCCCCCCCCCAAAAAAAAAAGAAAAAAAGAAAAGAAAAAAAGGCATAGAAGGTAAGGGGAGGGCAGAAGGGGTGGGAAGAAAGGGGAGGAGAGGGAAGGAAAGGCTTTGTGCCCCCTCCCAAGAAAAACACTCTAAACAACCAATCAAACCAAAAAAAAAAAAATGCCACCTGCTGCCATAGAATGAGGGATATGGGGCACTGCAGAAGTCTCTATCAGAAAAAAATATGGTGAGGCAGAAGAGCAAGGAGGTTTAGTAAAGTCTAAAGCAAATAGAGTTGGCCCTCCACTTACCAGAAAACCAAATAAATTATGCCATTCTGTTATCGGCAAGAGGATGAGACTTCAGTCCATGTCTTCTTGAAGGAAAGGTTTCAATCAAGAGACAAAGTGCAGCAAAGCAAGCAAGAATTTATTGGCTGCAGCCAAAACCTACTTAGGACAGTGAAACAGGAAGGGCATAGAAGAAGCAACAGGAGAGCCTAGGCTGGGCTGCTTTGGCTCACTGGGAAGTCAGAGAAACAGGGGCCTTGGAGACAGGATCAGGGGGTTAGCTCAGGGGGAAGTGCTGCTGCCCATTGCTCCCATGGTTGAAAGTCTTGTGGGGGACCTTAGAGGGAAGAAGGGAGGAAGGGAATGGAGAGGGTGTACTTCCGGGCAAGAGCTCCAGCTGGGTCCTTTGTGTTGAGGGTATTTATCTCTCTGGCAGGTGGGAATCTTAGGGGAGGTCTCAGAGGAGGGTCTCAATAGAATATTCATCAGTTTTCCAGGTGTGCTCCTTCAGAGTCCTGGTCTCTGCTGATTGGTCAGCACTAGAGCAGGAGGTCATTTGTCAATGCAGTTCTGAGGCAACCACAGCATCATTTGTCTGGTTTTGCTGCTTTTCTGGGCCAAGAGCTGAAATACAACTGAGGCCTAGCTGTTGTCTTTAGGGAAGGAAACATCAGGGGGTCTAAAGCACATGATCAGCGATATACTAGAGGAGAAAAGCTTACCCTGGAAGCACCCTGGACTTTCCACCCTGTTGAGCTCCTGTACCTGGCCCATCCTCCTTGCTCTGCTCATGTCTGTCTAAAGGCCTATAACAATTCCCTGAAGCATTATGAAAATCAAGGTTTCCTTTTTATTTAAAAAATAGAGGCCCAGTGCATGGATTTGTGCACTGGTGGGGTCCCTCAGCCTGGCTTGCAGGGATTGGGCCAAAACCGGCTCTCTGACATCCCCTGAGGGGTCTCAGGTTGTGAGAGGGTACAGGCCAGGCCGAGGGACCCCACCGGTGCACGATCGGGGGCTGGAGAGGGAATGCGGGAGGGCTCCAGGGTGTGTCCGGCCTGTCTCGCCCAGTCCCAATTGGCCAGATCCCAGCAGCAAGCTAACCTACTGGTCAGAGCATCTGCCCCCTGGTGGTCAGTATACATCATAGCGACTGGTCAAACAGTTGAAAGGTCAGACATTTAGCATACTCAGCTTTTATTATATAGGATGGAACTTCTGTATCACAATGGGGGAAAAACAGCCATATTACAATTTAAACATTTGGTTCTGTTTATTTTTCTTGGAGTGAGCATTTCTATCCATCATTAGCTCAAAACAACTAACATACATGGAACTAAAAATCACATACAGAAATTTCTATCCATCATTAGCTCAAAACAACTAACATACATGGAACTAAAAATCACGTACAGAAACAACAAAAGAATAACAACAATAACAGTTTCAACAATGGAAGTGGCACTTGGTCATTGTTATGGATACCAGTGCTGGGGTATCAAGGTGACAAAAGAGAGCAGGAAAGAGGCTTTGGCCCAAGATGACCCATAATAATGAAAACTAAACATGGGACTTAGCCCTGGTAAAGATCTGCAAAGTGCTCCTGAGGTGAAATGCATCATTACTTGGGCTTCCAAAACATTCTGTAAGTTACACCTGGCTTTTATCTTTTGAATCATTTGCAAGAATGTTTTCAGCCTCTCAGCAAATGAACCTGCTAATACTTAATGAGCAGTAAGTATATCATAAACAGTCATCACAAACCTAGGACAAGAAACTGTATTTCTCTGCTTTCATTCCCTCCTGTTGTCCCTGCTTCCTTATCTTTTCCCCACCTAAACAGAGTCATTAAAAAAAATCAAAAGTACCTATGTTTCCAGTCTATGACTGAGACCATTCTTATGATATTTTTGACTGATTCTGATATAATATATTGTATTTGGCACTGAAATAAACTGTTGACTAGTCTACATAAATGCTATCTTATACAAATATTAGCATGGGGAGCAATATAGCAGAACAATCAACAGATTACAGATCATCTGCTAAAGAGATGTCAGAATGTGTAGACGATGGACAATGGGTGGTCATGGGCATCACATGGGGCAGCATATGTGAAAGGACTCTAAATGACAGAGCACTTTGGACATTAAGGTCATTGTTACTGTTGTCATTATGGTCTAACAACTGTTCCACTCTGGGGAAAATAAACCCCAAGAAGGCAAAAGTTCTGGCCAGATTTAATTCAAGGAATCATTTCCTCTCCATGTCTAGCAGTTGGCACTTGGCAATGATAATATAACCTATGGAGAGACACACCTTAGATCTAGAAAATAGAAATTTGAGTATACAAATATATATTATGAAGTATGGTAGGGTACAAATTGATGTAAAAATATGCTTTGCTTTCTCTGCTTCATGAATTTTAAAAGCATATATTTTTGTGTTTTTGAATGTTGAAGCAAAGTTAGTAAACCCTTTTGGTTTTTGTAAAGACATGTTTTCACAGTATATGTTATTACAGTGCTGAAATCTTACATGTTAAATAGCCATCTGAAATATTTTGGACTTAACCAAAAATAACTAAACATTAATATAGATATTGTTTGGGGTGGTAAGAATGGAGTGGTAAGAATGGAAATTCATTCAGATGTGCTACTTGGCCCATTTTGAATTAAGTGTTTGAGACAGTCAAGTAGTCCTATGGGTAAGAGTTGCTGTAGGACGATGGTTAATCAGGAAAAGATTTCTTTCCTGCCCTTAGCCTAACTAGTAACTGTGGGAAAATACTTGTACCAAGAGTACAAAATCCTTGTACCAGTGTCTGACAATCAAACATTCTTTAAGATGGTTGCCGAAACCGGTTTGGCTCAATGGATAGAGCATCGGCCTGCGGACTGAAGGGTCCCAGGTTCGATTCCGGTCAAGGGCATGTTGGTTGCGGGCACATCCCCAGTGGGGAGTGTGCAGGAGGCGGCTGATCGATGTTTCTCTCTCATCGATGTTTCTAGCTCTCTATCTCTCTCCCTTCCTCTCTGTAAAAAATTAATAAAATATATTAAAAAACAAAAAAACAAAAGATGGTGCAGCTGCTCAGGTTCAAGAGAACACAGAGTCAATAACCTTGCCTCATGAGGACAAATCCCACAGCTTTTGGAAGCCACTCACTGTTCAAGAATTCTGGGAAACTATTTGAAGGTAAATCTTTTCATTTCTTAGGTCACTGCTATCATGTTACTGGCCTTCTTTGCAATTCCAGTTAAATTATAAAGTGCAGTAGGTAATGTTGAACCTTAAGAAGTAATGTAATGAGCACAACCACCCTGCACGGAATCCCAAGTTCAAGTTACTGGCAGAGTCATCATCCATATCTGAGAATGTATAGAGTCTTGATCATCATTGTTGTTGTCATCAATAGCATCATCACAGCATCTTTAGCATCACAGTTGCAGTACATCTTCATGTCAAGTGGTGTGGCAAGATAAGAGAGACCAATATCAAGACACTGTCCAGTTCGGATGTGTAAATATTATCCTGTGTTTCTTGGCCCATTTAGCAAACACTTTCTTTTCAGTGATAAACCTATGGCCTCCATATGGGGCATGTTCATGAAGAAAATATTCATCACACTCATCTCTTCCTTGTTCATAGTAATGGTAGGGGACTTTTCTATACCCTTCTGTCCTAGAAAAGAAAAAAAAAGGACAGAAAGATTGAGCTGAAGAATAAAGCATTCATTTACAAGAATACATTATATGCCCAGGAACTGCATTTACTTGCAAACCTATTCATGATTCTAGTCCATGAACTCAGTTAAAACTATTATGTATAAAAGCTTTTAGGAAGATGTACTAGGTCCTTAGTGCTTTAATAAATCAAATAAAATTTATATATCACACCAATTACATTCAAACATATAGTTATCCTTTAAAGGAGGAAATGGTGCATAATGGAAGTGAGCTTTGCATAGTCCAATGCTCTTATAGAGCTTGAAGGAGCTTTGTGATTTTTCAGAGTAAGATATTTGGTTCATCAGTGCTCCAATATGCTTTTAGTTAGGGTAGAAATATTTGATCACAAAGATTGCAGCTTAATTATCATTTTGAAAATATGATTAAAACACCCTCTGAATTATATTGTGCCAATTATTGGTAGGGAAATATATTTCATTACCTTGATGAAGCATGGGAGGTTTGTTTTATTATCTAATTAGAAACTATCCCACCAGCGGGGATATATGTGGATAAAGACACCCATTTTAAATAAGGATCTGGCAGATTATTCACTTATTTCCAGACATTCTTGCTAAGCTGTCAGCTTCTCGGAGGCTCCGGGATATTTTGTCCTTCATGATCAAATATAGCCATTGAGTAGATAGCCATCTCTCACGTCATTAGCCCACCAGAAAGGACACACTTGCTTTGCAAATTAAATAACCACTAACGTTGTTCTGTACTTCTAAGCCACAAGTCCCTGATATGCCACTGATTAAGGGGAAAATGTTTCTTCTGACATTTGACATTAGGCGATGGTAAATATTTTTCTTTTTATCACTCCTAAAAGTCATAGCTTGATGCACTGACAATGAAATGTCATGTCAGCAAAGAACACCGGGAAATAATTGTTGCTTTATCTGTTTGCCAGATTTATGGTATTAAAATGAATTGTGATATTTTGACAAGATATCAGAATTGGAGATGCATAAAAATAATTTCCTGTGATCTTACTTGCAGTAGGTGTCATTTATCATCCCGTAGACGTGAATGCCGTAACAGGCATCCATAGCCAGAATGAAGGTAAACCACCCAGTGCTGAGATAAGAGCCAGACTGGACTCTGTGGGGGGGACAAAAACAACAAACGAAACAAAACAACACAGAAAACATACACAGAGCAACAATAAGTGTGATGAGGAACAAGCCACTTTCTGTCAAAAACGCAGCACTTGTTATCAGGAAAAGGCATCAAGAAACTTGACAATCTGTCAAAGAGTCACACTTATTTTGAATTATCTCTGAATAATTTATGGGCGTGCTCCCACTCTGACTACCTTGAGCCTAGAAGCTATGTTGCGTGGTAGAGAAGCCATATGGCAAATATTTGAAGTCAAATAATCCTGCTCCCTTCGGGCGAAAAATAATTTGTTTGATTTTCTGTATGACACAAATGAGTGCTGTATATCAGAAGACAGGTTTTCTGGAAGTTGCTTGGAGCCCTGATGAGAACTGAGTGATAACAGTGCTATCTGCTATCCTGGACATATCACCTTCTCTCAGGCTTGCTGGGTTCCTAAATGTAAATTGGATGCAGTGTGAGTGAATGACTTGGTCTATGAAAGTATCTGAAAAATTTTCCTTCACTGCTTTGCAGGCCTCATGAGACCAGATTTTTCCTTTGTAAGACCTGTCTTAAGCACCTCTTAGACACACTTTTATTGAACACCTACTATGTGCCCATCACTATTGTGGATGCTGAGGATACAGCAGTTATCAAAACAACCAAAGCTTTTGTCTTCATGGAGACCAGAGGATAGGATTTGGAGATGGCTATGATATAAACTATAAAGATTGGCCATGGAAGGCTCTTTTGATAATGGTAACAAAGATTTGAAAGGAGGGAGGGGGTTGGTTAGGGAAATAGGAAGAAGCCATGTGAACTATATTGGGAAAGACAAGCTCATGTGTGTTGCTTTGGACCACCTCTTGGTCACATAAGAATGGGCTGTGGTCCTGGAACACTTTCTCACCTAAAGATAAGGAATTCTCACAGCCTGTGCTGGACTTGCCACCTTGTGTGGGACTATCTTACCCTGTTTCAGAGTTATTTTTTTTTCAATTATAGTTGACATTCAATATTATATTTGTTTTAGGTGCACAGCAAGCATGTCAAACTCAAAGGCTAACATGGGCCAAATAAACAAGGTTTAAGTTTATGTGAGCTGCAAAAAAACCAAAAGCTTCAATTTTCATAGAAACATAGGCTTATTTTGATAGAGACATGCTAAATACAAAGGGCTGAAATAAATGAGTAATCGTTAAAATAAAACAACATTTTAATAAAAATTAGTATTTTTCTTGAACATTAACTTACCAGACACTGAATAACTGCACAAATTAATAAACAAAATGCAAATAAACCTATTTTTCTTGTTCTCCGAAAGCGAAATATTTCTTGTTGCGCACACCAAATAAGACAGTACAAGACTAATGACATGGCAATTGGCTGCTAAAATATCCGCTGCTAGTATTAGTGGAGAGAAACGGTGCGCCTGCGCGTAAGGCACATAAGGGAAATGAATGCAACGCAGTTATAGTAATCAGTCATTAGCGAATGTTGTACTTCATTATTAATAACTAGAGGACTGGTGCACGATTGGGCCAGGGAGGGATGCAGGAGGTTGACCAGCTGGGGAAGGACTGCAGGATGGCTCCAGGCCATGTCTAGCCTGTATTGCTCAGTCCTGATTGGCCGGACCCCAGCAGCAAGCTAACCTACTGGTTGGAGCTTCTGCCCCTGGTGGTCAGTGCACATCATAGCAACTGGTGAACCAGTCGACTGTCTACCCCCAGTGGTCATAGTGAGTGGGTGAGCGGCCTTAGCATATCATTAGCACATTATGCTTTGATTGGCTGAACGGATGGCCAGACAACTGGACACTTAGCATATTAGGCTTTTATTATATAGGACTAGGGGCCCAGTGCATGAATTCGTGCACCTTGAAAGGAACTGTGGGCCACGAGGCTGCGATGGGCACAGGGGAGTTTCGGCCCATCCTCCGTGTCCCCGCCTGGCCTGTCCCACCATGGCCCCCAGTCCCCTCTCTGCCAGCAGCCCCGCTCCCGTCGCCACTGCTCCCACGCACTGATGATACCGGCCCTGCTCACACCCACTGATGGTGTGGAGCAATTGGGGCCAGAGCCAGCAGCAGGTGCGAGTGGGGCTGGCACCGTCAGCAGGTGTGAGCGGTGGCTGCTGCCTGAATTGCCCCTCAGGAGCAGGGGGAGGTGGAGAAGCCCTGAGGCTGCTTGCACCCGCTAATGGTGCTCAGTGATCAAAGCCGGTGCCAGGCACCAGCAGTGGGTGCGAGCGGGGCCAGTGCTGGCAGCAAGTGCGAGCACTGGGTGGGACCACAGCATGCAGGAGGAAAGAATTTTCAGTAACCACTAGAGGCTTGCCCCGATAACAGTGACCGGCACCCCACCTTGGTTTGGTGGACCCGCTCACCTGCTCCACCATCCTGCCTTGGCCGATACTCGCCATGTTCCATGTGTGCCCCTGGTGGCCAGCACACATCATAGCTACCAGTTGTTCAGTTGTTCCACTGTTCAGTCTACTTGCATATTAGGGTTTTATATATATAGATTATGTATAACAGGATATTGTAAAAGTTAAGTTACAAATTTTTATTAAAATGTTTCTTACATACCGTTATATTGGCTGGGCTGCAAAAATATTCATTGTGGGCTGCATGTGGCCCATGGTGTATAGCATAGTGATTAGCCATTTATATAACTTACAAGGTTATCCTCCCCAATAAGTCTAATACCCACCTGACACCACACATAGCTATTACAATACCATGGACTATAGTCCCTACCCTGTGCTTTACATTATCATGACTATTTTGTAACTGCCAATTTGTACTTGTTAATGCCTTCACCTTTTTCACCCAGCCCCCCAAACCCTCTCTTGTCTGGCAATCATCAGTTTGTTCTCTGTACCTATAAGTTTGGCATGTTCATTTATTTTGTTTTGTAGATTCCACATGAGTGAAATATATGATATCTGTCTTTCTCTCTTTGATTAATTTCACTTAGCTTCATGGGCACATCTTTGTTCTTTGTAAGTGTGTATCATGTGTCACCTGGCTGACCTCACTGCTAAGTCTGTACCCGGAAAAGAGGGGATGGGTCCTTCATTCTGTGGCACAAAAGGGTTGCATGCAGGCCAATGGCCCTGTGTTAGCTGCTGGGAGAGACCGACTGGCCCTGGGGTCCATGCCCACTGCTAATACTGATCTTGTTCTGTTTCTTCCCTATGTGAGTGCAGTGCTGTTCCATCTAGTGTTTGTGCTGTGTTTGCTTCCGCAACTCGGATACCAACAGGCAGTAGGCAGAAGGGCTTGGATTTCTACTCTTGGTGACAGATGCCGCTTGCTCAACAGACGCTATGAGAGAAAAGTATTTCAGGAAAAGGAAATGCTAAGGGAAAAATCACAAACATGTAAGTGTGCTTGGTATGTTTAAGGAAGAGATGGCAAGAGTAATAACTGAAGGGTGAGAAGTAGTGTTAATTAAGTGGGGGGGGGGCAGGGGATGGTCTGCCAAGTTCCAAATAGTTCAAGGGAATGTTTGATGACAGGTGGGATCTCCATACTTGTCTTTAGCCACGGTAACCTGTTCCACCCAAAACAGACGACGAACAATCTCCCTAAGTCTCTCCTCATAGGGGCATCTGGCTCACCCCAGGTTGTTTGGCATCTGTGTAGCACCTCTTCTAAATAAGATTAATGTCCTACATCTAGACCTCTTTGCCTATGGAAGCACAGCCAGCTCTCCTCCTCCTGAGAACCCCTCTCTGGGTATAGCACTCCAGCCAGTAGATGTTCCCCACTGAAGTCCAATATTGCTGATGCATTTCTCCAGTACTAAGCCTTCAGCATGCTGTAATTAGGATCCTAAATCCTTTGATATATATGTACTTTTAATCAGGCACTGCTTAGTATCAAATTACTTACAGCATACAATAATTTCAGGATCAACATAAACTCAGAGTGGGGGTTGATAATTGTAACTTTTAACCTTTATTTTTTATTGACTTTGGGTCATTTGCAAGGAAAGATAAACCCAGCCCATATACATATCCTATAGAATAAAAGCCTAATATGCAAATCAACTGAACAGCAGAACGACAGGTGGAACGACCGGTCATTGTTATGCGCACTGACCACCAGGGGGCACATGCTTAATGCAGTAGCTGCCCCCAGTCCACAGGCCCCAGACCAGCCAAGGTGGGTGCTAGAGGGGACCCTCGATCACTCCACTGGTCGCCCCACAGATTGGCCCTGATTGCTGGCCAGCCTAGGAACCCTACCCATGCACGAATTTCGTGTATTGGACCTCTAGTGTATATATATATATATATATATATATATATATATATATATATATATACCCATTCCCTCTGCTGACTTGTCACTGAATTTGAAATGCCATGGTGTAAGTACTTTCCTTTGTAGCTCCTGGCATGTTTTCTACATAGAAAGTATTCCAGAAACAGGCTTACAATGAATTATGTGCCCTTTCCTTTGTCAAAGGAATAGTAGCAGCAGCATGGGTTAGGAATGGGTACCAAGTGGGTGGCAAGATGTACCACAGGGAGGCAAAGTATACATAGGGCAACTTTGCTTGTGCAGCGGGACCTGCAGTCGATCCTGCACTCTGGAGTCTTAGGAGGAACAGCAAGGATGGGAACTGCTTAAAGCTCCACCTGCTCAAAATGTCCTTATTAAAAAATGGGGAGAGATCGGAAGAGGCAAGAGTCTTGCAAAAAGCTCTCAAATTGAATCTAGAAATTATGTCTATGTACTGCCTTTTTCTGGTTATTATTCCCACTGAATTGGGACTAATATGCCCCCTTTTTCTCTTCTTGCCTTGTATGACTTTCTACCTTTCCATCCTCTCTATCCTTTTTCCTTACCTGGTTGGCCAAGCATTAGTAGAGATCACTAAAAATTACAGCATTTGTTTGTTTATGATGAGAAAAGCCACTTATTCACCCATTTCTTAATTTTTTCAACAAATATTTATTGGGATCCTATTATGTGTCACTGAC